GTGGTTTTCAATTAGAGTATACATCTCCTCCGTGACTTTAAAATTCCTGAAGCCAGATTTAAGAAACGAAACAAATGAGCAAAGGAAAAAAGAGAGAGGCAAACCAAGAAACAGACCCTTAATTACAGAGAATTAACTGATGGTCACCGGAGGAGCGGGGGTGGGGAGATGAGTGACACAGTGATGGGTTGTGACGAGCAGCAGGTGATGGAGAGGATTGCTGGATCGCCACACTGCACACCTGAAATTAATGTCACGCTGTGTGCTAACTATACTGGAATTTAAAATTTGAAAAAAATAATGAAGTCAGGTCTCACCCCCAACACCCCACAGGAGCGTTCCCACCTCATACTCCTAGTGAAGCAGCACAGACAGGCAAAGCTCACAACACTGCATTCTCTTTCTCAGAGCTGACCTTGCTTCCTAACTTTACTGAGAAAACAGAAGCAATTATGGACTCCCACCAGCACACCGCCCAGGGTGCCTCTTACACTCCGCCTTCTCTCCCCACGTGGGAGCGAACCGCCTCCCACTCCGCTACCACACTCACTGCTGTCCCCCTCCAACTACAAGGTCACGGACTTAGCAAACGCCCCCTTTCTCTGGTGCATCAGTTCTTCCCTCTCTCTCTACCAGATCATTCTCATCATCAGCTTCTGGACACAGACTATCGTATCACCCATCCTCCCTCTCTCTCTCTCTTTCTCTCTCTCTCCTCTCTCTCTTTCACACACACACACACACACACACACACACACACATTCCCTTCTTTAACTTCTTAGCCATCTCTAGTTTCCACACTATTTCTCTGTTCCCTTCTACAGCAAAACTCCTCAGAAAAGGCTGTTTACACCTGCTGCCTCCAGTTCTCCTAGTCCCTCTTGAACCCACTCTAATCGGGCTTTCATCTCCTTGGAAACAGTACAGCAAGATCACAAACTACCCCATTTCTAAATACTGATAAATTCTTTGTCTCATCCAACTTGATCTACCACAGCTCTTTAAAATAGCTCCTCATGCCTTTCTCGAAGCTTATTCTTCGCTTGGCTTCCAAGTGAACCCTGTCTTCTGGTTCCTCTCCTGCCAAAGAGGCTGCTCTTCCTCAAATTCTTCTGATGATGATGGTGTCTCCTTTTCTCCCCAGCCCCGAGTGCTGCAGCTCCAAGATGCCATGGTCCCAGGACCTCCGCTCTACAGTCACCTCCCTGCTTTAAATCCCATCCAGGTACAAAGTTATTCCCAAGTTATTCCCAAGTTTATCCACATATATCTATATGGGTCAGATGATGTGTGTGATCTGTGTTTTCTGTTTCTTACTCCCTTTGCCCTTGTTTATAAACTAAATAAGGACAGAGACTACATTTTTCCCTGCTATCTCCCCAGAACCTGGCATGCACCAGGTGCTCAAGATATATTTCAAAGAATTAAGGCTGGCATCTGCCTCCATCAAACAATAACAGATTTCCATATCGATTTTTAAAAGAACACTTGGATAACAGCAACAACAACAACAACAACAAAAAAGAGCTCCTGGCAAAAGAAGAAAGACTCAGCAGAGGATTTGGAGAATAAATGTAGGTGCAGAAATCTCACACTGAGCAGAGCAAAATGCTAGAGCTGAAAAAACAGGAAGGAAAAGAAAATTAGGCAAGCTTTCCAAAACATCTAATATCTGAATGCCACACATGTCAAAAGAGAAGAAAAAAACCACTCCAGAAGACTTGCCACAACTGTGGCCACAAGTTTCCCCAATGAAAGGGTCCAGTGACTGCCCAGTGACGATGAGATGGCTCATCATCAAGTGATTTCAGAACACCGTGGACATAGAAGGTCCAGAAAGCATCCAGAAAATGGGAAACTAAATAGGTTTTGCAAAAAAGAACCACAGGTTAGAAAAGCACCAGTGGAAACTAGAAAACAATTCAAAATGATTTCAAGCTTGTACCTCTGAGACCCATACAATTATCCAGTAAGTGTCCAAGTAGAATACAGCCACTTTCAGACATGTAAGGTTTCAAAAATATTTACTGTCGTGTTTTCTTTCCTGGGCAGCTGACAGAGGACACACTTGACCATATGAGAGATTAAGCCTAGAATGAGGAGCTTATGAGATCTAAAAACCCAAGACTGGGGCGAGAAGAATCCCTGGGATGATTGCTGAGGGGCCAGCTGGGCAGCTGGCCTACAACGTTCCAGACTGTGTCAGAAGTGCAGGAGGGAGATTCTTCAAGAAATCAAAATGGCCGTCTTCTGAGCGTGCCAGGATAGGCTGGATATTGGAAAGGTACACAAGCAGGGGGTATTCTGAACTTAACAATCTGTTAAGAAACAAGGCAGACAGAAAGTCCTGCTCTCGGGGTGCAGGAAAGGACAGGGAGCTGACACACACTGTCTCAGCCTGTACGCTGCTCAGTGATGTGGGCACTGAAAATAGTTACAACTAAAATTAACTGTATTGGGAGGGTGGGGGGAGTAAAGGAAAGATGGGTGAAGTAGGGGGAGAGGAGAGTAAAAACGCCAAATCCGTCGCCACTACAGAGGCAATGACTAACAGCCGACATTGGGATTTGGAGATAAGGAGGTAAATGCTACATGGAGAGGATGACAAAGTTGATGGCGGGTGCGTCTGGGAGTCTGGAGGGCTGCGCGCTTCTGTTTTCCATTAAGAGCCACACAGAACTCTGTAACTCCCCACAGAGACATCCAAGGAAAAAATAAAAATTTTATCAAGAGGTCCCACCACACTGAACTACCAGAGGAAGAGGGCTGGGTTCCAACTTCACAGAAGCACGATTTAACAGCGTGGGCCCCCAGTGTTCCACGTGCACACCCTTTGACCTAGCAGCCCCGCTTCCATGAACGGACGAGGAAAGCCACAGCACACGGGTAAAGGGCTGAATGAATCAGCGTATTCGCTGACCGCATTTATTCTACTAAAAAACCAGAAACAACTGTCACTTCACTGTGCTGAAGAAGAGCAGATCTCGGCTCAAATCCTAGCAACTACTGCTTGCTACCCGTGTGACAACAGGGACTCAAGTGCATGCAATACAAAAATAATAATCATACACACCCAACATTTATACGTTGGGAGGAGAAGCTGATTTAATACGTGAACTGTGCCTGCTTGGTATGAGTAAAAAGGTACAATACCTGTTCATTATCAAAATTCTCTTTTCTGCACTCTTCTGGATTACCTGAATTTCTCTTCTGATGAAAATACATCTTTTGTACAAATACAATAACCCTTTAGTTAAAAACAGTTTTATTGTAAAAATACAAAAAGCAGAGAAAGAAAAAGGACATATAATCCCACTGCTTGTCAATTATATAAAAGAAGTATGTATGTCCCCATTTGAAACCACCCCTACCCTCCAGTTAACTAGCAATTTTTTTCTCTGCTTATGCAGACACACATACACACATATAATTCTTTCCTTATTAAATAAAACCAGAATCATGTCACTTTTTTTTTCCATTTTTCAATACATTGTATTCATGGTTCCATAACCTCATTCTTTTTACAGGGTACACAGTATTCTGTGTGGCATGTAGTAAAAATTTAAGCCTTCCCCTATTAAAGAACTTCCAGACTACTTTCCACTTTTTGCTACTGCAGGACTACAGTGTGAACACATACCCTTACGTAACAACTTATTATTAGATTCCCAGAGGGGGCTGATTCACAAGGAATGGAGTTTCTTTCATTGTTTTTTAAAAAATATTGAACAGATACAAAAATAGTTTTAAAAGTCATATGAGGTAGGCAGTACTAACAGCGGCGCCTGGGGGGCTCAGTCAGTGGAGCTTCTGATTCTTGGTTCCAGCTCAGGTCATGGTCTCAGGGTCATGAGATCACCCAGGGTCAGGCTCTGTGCTCAATGGGGAGTCTGCCATGAGGACTCTGTCCCTCTGCCCCTCCCTTACTCACATTTTCTCTCTCTAAGATTAATAAATCTTTAAAAAAAACACTATAATCACTCCCACTGCCCATCCCTTTGGTGAACTATCATTATGTTTGAAGTTTCCCATCACCCCTCCCTGACTCCAGGACAGAGATCTTGTGAGAGGTGCCCCAGGTCAATCTTTTTTTTTTTTAAGATTTTATTTATTTATTTGATAAGAGATCACAATTAGAGAAACAGGCAGAGAGAGAGGAAGCAGGCTCCCCGCAGAGCAGAGAGCCTGATGCAGGGCTCAATCCCAGGACCCTGAGACTATGACCTGAGCCAAAGGCAGAGGCTTTAACCCACTGAGACACCCAGGCACCCCTGGGTCAATCTTTTACTTTTTCTTCTCTTTGCTAAAAGAAACAAACATATCATTAATGCTTCCTTTTTCCTATCTTTAGTCATTACAACATATAGTATCTTCTCATAGGGTTTTTTTTCCCTTCTTCTCATACGTTTATTGGCTATTTGTATTTCTTTTTCCATAAGCTGCTTCTTCATTTCCTTTACCTTCTTTTGGGTTGATCTGGCTGCTTTATTTTCTGATTTACAGAACTGCTGCACATGAGGGATATTAACTTGCTGGAACTCTAATGTTGCAGATAATACTGTGCCCTTCACTAGAGAAAGTGTTACATTGCCATGTGGAGAGCTCTGTTAATTTTCCCTCTGGCTTCCCCAGTTTAGGTATTTGCCCATATACTCTTCAGAATTTTGTTTTACACGTTTAGATTGTTCATTGACGTAGACTTGACTTTAGTAGATGGTGGGGGAATAGGGCTTTATTTTCTCCCAAATGCACAGCCAGTCATTCTAATAGCATTTACTGACTAACTCCTTTCTCCATCGATCTAATGATTTTACTACACATCCAGTTTTCACATACATACATGGATACGTGTCTGTACGTGTGTAAGATGTGCACGTGCATGTACGTATATGTATACACATATGACGTTTATGTTTACACGGTTTTCAGACTCTGTTCTCCTCCACTGCTCTGTCTCACCCGGGGAATGCCACGGAGCCAGGTCCAAAGAAATCACTCACCTGCCCTTCTTCGTCAAAAGCCATGACCACCACGGCGGCTCCAAACTTCTTAATCTTCCTAGCCTTCGCCAAGAAGTCGTCCTCTCCCTCCTTCAGGCTGATGCTGTTGACAATGCATTTCCCCTGGCAGCATTTCAAGCCGGCTTCAACCACGGCAAAGTTGGAAGAGTCAATGCACAAGGGCACCTAGATCAGAGGGGCACGGAGAAGCACAGGAAAACCGCAAGTCACCATGGACTCCCTTCCACGGGCTGGCACCCAAACAGTACCTATTTCATATGCAGGGAATAACAGGAGCATGACAGAAAAAGGATCTGCATGTACTTGTTCTTTTAAAGCCCAGAACACTTGGAGTGATTCCAGTCCTACGAGGGACCCCACGCAGGAGCCCGGGATTTGAAAATCAAAGATCACAGATGAACACCAGGATGAAATCACGGAGCTCAGTCCACTGGCTTCTTCGTCAGGTTACACCTTCCGCTGCCTACACCTCAAACAGGATTCTGGTTTCCTGGATCTGACTCCGGGATTAATGTTTGGCCTCACAGCCTCGGGAATAGCCCTCCGGCCTATTCAAATCCAATCTTCCCCTTAAAGAATCAAGCTCCTGACCAGATAAAATAAAATTTTCCTCTTAGGAAAAGACATAATATTTAATAAAAGAATGTAACTACAACAAAGGACAAAGTTGAAATGCACAGATGAGAACAGGTTCATTTTAAAGAGTCTCCATGCATTCACGCCTCTGCTCCAGGAAGGGTAGAAAATAAGGGTTTCGAAGCAGGACTAGAGTCAAGCACAGAAATGAAACACGGCAGCCGATCTAAGCTCCGCTGCTTAAGTCAGTCAATAAATACATATTTAGTGACAACCGCATCAGGCCCCAGCTAGACTTGGGGGCAATGACAGAGCAGGGGGCTCCCTAGCTTTCCCGAGCTTTATGAAGATAAACAATTGAATAAATAATGACCTAAAGTGTGGGAGACGGGAGGGCAGGAGAGGAACACAGGTGCCATGAAAGCCTGCTTCAGGGGCACCAGACCCCACCTGTGGCACAGGGAGGGCGGGCCAGGAGAATTCTCAGAAAGGCTCAGCTCTTCCTCAGGCCACATCTCCAAAGGTGAGAGCACAACGGGACCAGGGGTCCATCAATTCTACCCTTTCCTACTGCACTGGTCATGACAGGTTTGCAAGGAAAGGAGTCAAGTACCAGTGCCAATCCCAGGCTAATGTTTTAAAGCTCTGGGTGAGTCTGGTGTCCTAGCTCTGCTGGTGAAAAGGTGCTAGTCACACCTTTTTATGCTCGACTCCAGCTCTTCATAATTTGGTCTCTAAGAAATTTTGGTAGGAGGTCCAATCCAGGAAAGAGAAGGAAAAAAAAATTACTGGCGCAATCAGAAGAGTAATTAATAATGTCTTAAGTTAAACACAGTTGTTCATAGTGGAGGCACTCTCATCTGCAGGGTTCCGGAGTCAGACAGAGCAAGAATGACTGCTCCCACTTCGGGCCGGAGAAAGGAAACTCGGGTCAACAGTCAGTTGACCATAGGATACGTCCGACTTCAGGCAGAGCCCCTTTCCCACCACTCGGCTGATGAACAGCTTCTCCCCCTCTGATTCTGACAAACTTGGAACAAGTCATTTGGCTTCTCTGCATCTTAAATTCTCAAAGTATTTACTCCCAGAGGAGTGACGAGGCTTTTACTGAGGAGTTTTCAAGACACAAATGAAAGACGGGTTAATGCACTGCTTATCACGGAACATCTAACTTAAGCATTTGCTGAAGGCCTAATGAAACACTGACAGCCCCATCTCTCAAAGCACTAGGAAGTTTCTTTAAAAAAGAACTTCACAGGGGTGCTTGGGTGGCTCAGTGGGTTAAGCCTCTGCCTTGTGCTCAGGTCATGATCCTGGGGTCCTGGGATTGAGCCCTGCATCAGGCTCTCTGCCCAGCAAAGAGCCTGCTTCCCCCCTCTCTGCCTCCCTCTCTGCCTACTTGTGATCTCTCTCTGTGTCAAATAAATAAATAAAATCTTAAAAAAAAAAAAAAAGAACTTCACAAATCACTTCTCATCACAAATTCAATAGTAAAGAAATGAAGTAAAAATTTTAAGGATTTTAGAATGCACCCAAAAATTTTTTTTAAAAATTGGACACACTAATTAACTTTCATCTTTTAAAGAACAAATGTAAAAGCTGACACTATTTACATTTAATCTTATTTTATAGTTCTGTTAACTCTGATAAACCCCAGAAGGTCTCTTCCTCCCACGATAAAGAAGAACTGCCTGAGGGTCCCTGTGCCTGGAATGGAGCTAACATCTTGGTAGCAATGGGCAAGTGTATCCTTCGGACGTGGGAAGCAGGTTCTTAGTCCATCCAGACATCAGAGGAAACTCAATCCAGAAACCTTGGAAACAGCTGAGCTTAAGTCACAGCTCTGGTTTACAGTGAAAGGCTGCCATCAGGGGACAAAGTGACAAACAGAAACCACTGGGCTTTCACTGTGGGAAAACAGAACACCAGGGCATGAGATGACAGATCCCTGGGGCAAGTGACAAAGTTAGAGTGACAGACGAGGGCACATAAATCTCATTTTGTACAACCTTGGCGATGTCGGGCTCGGAAGCAATGAAGTTGCAAAATCTGGTCATGGCACTCGAACCATCCAGCATGCCATCATCCATGTTGATATCCAACACCTGCGCTCCCATTTCCACCTGCACTTTGGCAATGGTCAGTGCTTCCTGAGGGAAGAACGCCAGAGGAGGCACCATTAGGAGAAGGTGACTCAAGAGAAAGCTACCCAATTTATTCCCACCCACCCCCCTCCAGCAGTCCTTTCAAATCAGACTGGGCGAACCAGCCTCCTCAAGTCTGCGCCGACTCTCCTCCCATCCATCATCATAGTCTGACGACTGGCCTTCCTTGCACATCTCCTCCCTCATGTCAGTCATGACTCAGAATCCACCAAGGCTCTGTCTTCCTGCCATAAATAAAGAAGTTCAATTCCCCAGCCTGGCATTCAAGGCCTTCTGTGACCGGACCCTGTTGCCTCACCTAACTGAATGCCCCACTCCTCCCCTCCCAGTTCCCTTCACCAAGCCATGTGTGTTTCCACTTCAGGGCCACAGATCACGTCGTCCCCTCTGCTTGGGATACAACCCCCTTCCCTTTTATACTGTTCAGGACCCAGCTCAAGCCCTAGCTCTTCCCAAAAAAGCCCTCAGAGAAACTATCAAAAATTTCTGTGACTCTTGTGTTTGCCAAGACATGCAAAGTGTATTGTAGGCCATTGGTAAGAGTTATATGAACTAGGAGGTAAATAAAATCCAGCAGGTTTTTATACTGGAAGGCTTTTCAAATCCATTAATACACTGTTTCACACTGTAAATATCCAAGAAGAGAATATGTGCCATTTCCCACTGGTGACCACTGAAGGAATAATCTTGCTGGCTCAGGGTTCCAGAGAACATACTTTGGGAGGGAAACACTGTTTATTCCATAACGGCCTGCTGCTTCTGTAACTTCTGTAACAACTGTGATCATTACATCATCGTGGTTTATGAGATCATCATTTCCTCAGGATTTCATATTAGCTAATTCCTCAAAATAGAGTATAAGTGTTTGGAACTCTGGAAAGATCTTAGGTTTCTCCTGCTCTCCTCTGAACAAGACTGGGCAAAATATACATGTTCCATAATGCTTTCTAACTGATAAAACAGGGTTCATTTTAGGTCTGCACTGTATGTTTTGTCATGTAATAAAATAAATAGGGAGGGAGGAGTCAAGATGGCGGAGAAGTAGCAGGCTGAGACCACATCAGGTAGCAGGAGATCAGCTAGATAGCTTATCTAACCATTGCGAACACCTACAAATCCAACGGGAAATTGAAGAGAAGAAGAGCAACAATTCTAGAAACAGAAAATCGACCACTTTCTGAAAGGTAGGACCTATGGATAAGTGAATCCAAAGCGAGAGGAAGATAAACCGCGGGGGGAGGGGCCGGCTCCCGGAAAGCGGCAGAGAAACAGCACAAAAATCAGGACTTTTAAAAGTCTGCTCCACGGAGGGACATCGCTCCAGAGGCTAAACTGGGGGAAAGCCCACACGGGGTCAGTGTAACCCCAGGTCCTGCGGGGGTGTCTGAGTGTCGCAGAGCTCACAGGTATTAGAGCGGGGAAGACGGCTACAGCGACAAAGCCAAGGAGTGAGCTCTCAGCTCGGGGTTACCTTGAACCGGGCACAGGCTGGGTGAGCTTGGAGCGCGGCCAGAGGCCAGGGAGACTGAGTGACTGAGCACTTTTCTCCAAGCGCACGGCTGGAGGCCAGGGAGACGGAAGCAACCAAGCGCTTTTCTCCAAGCGCAATGGATTGAGCACTTTTCTCCAAGCGCGACCGGAGGCCAGGGAGACAGGAGCGATTGGGCGATTTTCTGTGAGGGCGAACTGAGGCGCGGGGCCCCGAGCTCTCGGCTCCTCCAGGCCGAAGATTGGGAGGCCACCATTATCATTCCCGTCCTCCGGAACTCTACGGAAAGCGCCCAGGGAACAAAAGCTCCTGAAAGCGAAACCGAGCGGGTTACTTAGCCTGGTCCCTGATAAGGGTGGGGCAATTCCGCCTCCAGCAAGACACTTGAGAATCACTACAACAGGCCCCTCCCCCACAAGATCAACAAGAAACCCAGCCAAGACCAACTTCACTTACCAAGGAGAACAGCGGAATTCCAGAGGAGGAGAAAGCATATCTTATCTGGACAAAATGACAAGGCGGAAAAACTCACCACAAAAAAAAGAACAAGAGGCAGTACCGAAGGCTGTGGACCTAATCAATACAGACATTGGTAATATGACAGATCTAGAGTTCAGAATGACGATTCTCAAGCTTCTAGCCGGGCTCGAAAAAGGCATAGAAGATATTAGAGAAACCCTTTCCGGAGAGATAAAAGCCCTTTCTGGAGAAATAAAAGAACTAAAATCTAAACAAGTTGAAATCAAAAAAGCTATTAATGAGGTGCAATCAAAAATGGAAGCTCTTACTGCTCGGATAAATGAGGCAGAAGAAAGAATTAGTGACATAGAAGACCAAATGACAGAGAATAAAGAAGCTGAGCAAAAAAGAGGCAAACAAATACTGGACCACAAGGAGAGAATTCGAGAGATAAGTGACACCATAAGACGACACAACATTAGAATAATTGGGATTCCAGAAAAAGAAGAAAGAGAGAGGGCAGCAGAAGGTACATTGGAGAGAATTATTGTAGAGAATTTCCCTAATATGGCAAAGGAAACAAACATCAAAATCCAGGAGATGCAAAGAACGCCCCTCAAAATCAATAAAAATAGGTCCACACCCCGTCATCTGATAGTAAAATTTACAAGTCTTAGCGACAAAGAGAAAATCCTGAAAGCAGCCCGGGAAAAGAAGTCTGTAACATACAAGGGTAAAGACATTAGATTGGCAACAGACTTATCCACAGAGACCTGGCAAGCCAGAAAGAACTGGCATGATATATTCATGATATATTCAAAAATGATAAAAACATGCATCCAAGAATACTATATCCAGCTAGGCTATCATTGAAAATAGAAGGAGAGATAAAAAGCTTCCAGGGCAAACAAAAACTGAAAGAATTTCCAAACACCAAACCAGCTTTACAGGAAATATTGAAAGGAGTCCTCTAAGCAAAGAGAGACCCTAAAAGTAGTAGATCAGAAAGAAACAGAGATAATATACAGTAACAGTCACCTTATAGGCAATACAATGGCACTAAATTCATACCTCTCAATAGTTACCATGAATGTAAATGGGCTAAATGCCCCAATTAAAAGACACAGGGTATCAGAATGGATAAAAAAACAAAACCCATCAATATGCTGCCTACAAGAAACTCATTTTAGACCTGAAGACACCTCCAGATTTAAAGTGAGGGGGTAGAAAACAATGTACCATGCTAATGGACATCACAGGAAAGCTGGGGTGGCAATCCTTATATCAGATCAATTAGATTTTAAGCCAAAGACTATAATAAGAGATGAGGAAGGACACTATATCATACTCAAAGGGTCTGTCCAACAAGAAGACCTAACAATAATACAATAATAGTAGGGGACTTTAACACTCCCCTCACTGAAATGGACAGATCATCCAAGCAAAAGATCAACAAGGAAATAAAGGCCTTAAATGACACACTGGACGAGATGGACATCACAGACATATTCAGAACATTCCATCCCAAAATAACAGAACACACATTCTTCTCTAGTGCACATGGAACATTCTCCAGTATAGACCACATCCTGGGTCATAAATCAGGCCTCAACCGGTATCAAAAGATTGGGATCATTCCCTGCATATTTTCAGACCACAATGCTCTGAAGCTAGAACTCAATCACAAGAGGAAATTTGGAAAGAACCCAAATACATGGAGACTAAACAGCATCCTTCTAAAAATGAATGGGTCAACCAGGAAATTAAAGAAGAATTGAAAAAATTCATGGAAACAAATGATAAAGAAAACACAATGGTTCAAAACCTGTGGGACACAACAAAGGCAGTCCTGAGAGGAAAATATATAGTGGGACAAGCCTTTCTCAAGAAACAAGAAAGGGCTCAAGTACACAACCTAACCCTACACCTAAAGGAGCTGGAGAAAGAACAAAAAAGAAAGAATAAACCCAGCAGGAGAAGAGAAATCATAAAGATCAGAGCAGAAATCAATGAAATAGAAACTAAAAAAACAATAGAACAAATCAACGAAACTAGGAGCTGGTTCTTTGAATGAATTAATAAGACTGACAAACCCCTGGCCAGACTTATCAAAAAGAAAAAAGAAAGAACCCAAATAAATAAAATAATGAATGAAAGAAGAGAGATCACAACCAATACCAAAGAAATATGAACAATTATAAGAACATACTATGAGCAACTCTACGCCAACAAATTCGACAATCTGGAAGAAATGGATACATTTCTAGAGACATATAAACTACCACAACTAAACCAGGAAGAAATAGAAAACCTGAACAGACCCATAACCATTAAGGAGATTGAAACAGTCATCAAAAATCTCCAAACAAACAAAAGTCCAGGACTAGACGGCTTCCCAGGGGAATTCTACCAAACATTTAAAGAAGAATTGTTTCCTATTCTCCTGAAACTGTTCCAAAAAATAGAAATGGAAGGAAAACTTCCAAACTCATTTTATGAGGCTAGCATCACCTTGATCCCAAAACCAGACAAGGACCCCATCAAAAAAGAGAATTACAGACCAATATCCTTGATGAACACAGATGCGAAAATTCTCACCAAAATACTAGCCAATAGGATTCAACAGTACATTAAAAGGATTATTCGCCACGACCAAGTGGGATTTATTCCAGGGCTGCAAGGTTGGTTCAACATCCGCAAATCAATCAATGTGATACAATACATTAATAAAAGAAAGAACAAGAACCATATGATACTCTCAATAGATGCTGAAAAAGCATTTGACAAAGTGCAGCATCCCTTCCTAATTAAAACTCTTCAAAGTGTAGGGATAGAGGGCACATCCCTCAATATCATCAAAGCCATCTATGAAAAACCCACCGCAAATATCATTCTCAATGGAGAAAAACTGAAAGCTTTTCCGCTAAGGTCAAGAACACGGCAGGGGTGTCCGTTATCACCATTGCTATTCAACATAGTACAAGAAGTACTAGAAGTCCTAGCCTCAGCAATCAGACCACAAAAAGAAATTAAAGGCATTCACATTGACAAAGAAGAAATCAAACTATCACTCTTTGCAGATGATATGATACTATATGTGGAAAACCCAAAAGGCTCCACTCTAAAACTGCTAGAACTTATACAGGAATTCAGTGAAGTGTCAGGATATAAAGTCAATGCACAGAAATCAGTTGCATTTCTTTACACTAACAACAAGACAGAAGAAAGAGAAATTAAGGAGTCAGTCCCATTTACAATTGCACCCAAAACCATAAGATACCTAGGAATAAACCTAACCAAGAGGCAAAGAATCTATACTCAGAAAACTATAAAGTACTCATGAAAGAAATCGAGGAAGACACAAAGAAATGGAAAAATGTTCCATGCTCATGGATTGGAAGAACAAATATTGTGAAAATGTCTTTTCTACCTAAAGCAATCTACGCATTTAATGCAATCCCTATCAAAATCCCATCATTTTTTTCAAAGAAATAGAACAAATAATCCTAAAATTTATTGGGAACCAGAAAAGACCTCGAATAGCCAAAGGAATATTGAAAAAGAAAACCAAAGTTGGTGGCATCACAATTCCAGACTTCAAGCTCTAATACAAAGCTGTCATCTTCAAGACAGTATGGTACTGGCACAAAAATAGACACATAGAACAATGGAACAGAATAGAGAGCCCAGAAATAGACCCTCAACTCTATGGTCAACTAATCTTTGACAAAGCAGGAAGGAATGTGCAATGGAAAAAAGACAGCCTCTTCAACAAATGGTGCTGGGAAAACTGGACAGCCACATGCAGAAAAATGAAATTGGACTATTTCCTTACACCACACACGAAAATAGACTCAAAATGGATGAAGGACCTCAATGTGAGAAAGGAATCCATCAAAATCCTTGAGGAGAACACAGGCAGCAACCTCTTCGACCTCAACCACAGCAACTTCTTCCTAGGAACATCACCAAAGGCAACAGAAGCAAAGGCAAAAATGAACTATTGGGACTTCATCAAGATCAAAAGCTTTTGCACAGCAAAGGAAACAGTTAACAAAACCAAAAGACAACTGACAGAATGGGAGAAGATATTTGCAAACGACATATCAGATAAAGGGCTAGTATCCAAAATCTATAAGGAGCTTAGCAAACTCAACACCCAAAGAACACATAATCCAATCAAAAAATGGGCAGAGGACATGAACAGACATTTCTGCAAAGAAGACATCCAGATGGCCAACAGACACATGAAAAAATGCTCCACATCACTCAGCATCAGGGAAATACAAATCAAAACCACAATGAGATACCACCTCACACCAGTCAGAATGGCTAAAATTAACAAGTCAAGAAATGACAGATGCTGCCAAGGATGCGGAGAGAGGGGAACCCTCCTACACTGTTGGTGGGAATGCAAGCTGGTGCAACCACTCTGGAAAACAGTGTGGAGGTTCCTCAAAAAACTGAAAATAGAGCTACCCTATGACTCAGCGATTGCACTACTGGGTATATATCCTAAAGATACAAACGTGGTGCTCCAAAGGGGCACATGCACCCAAATGTTTATAGCAGCAATGTCCACAATAGCCAAACTATGGAAAGAACCTAGATGTCCATCAACAGATGAATGGATAAAGAAGATGTGGTGTATATATACGATGGAATACTATGCAGCCATCAAAAGAAATGAAATCTTGCCATTTGCGTCAACGTGGATGGAACGTGGATAGAACTATGTCTCTGATTGACTTATTTCGCTTAGCGAAATAAGTCAATCAGAGAAAGACAGCTATCATATGATCTCCCTGATATGAGGAAGTGGAGATGCAATGTGGGGGGCTTGGAGGGTAGGAAAAGAAAAAAATGAAAGAAGATGGGATCCGGAGGGAGACAAACCATAAAAGACTCAATCTCAAAAAACAGACTGAGGGCTGCTGGGGGGACAGGGAACAGGAGAGGGTGGTGGGGATATGGACATTGGGGAGGGTATGTGCTATGGTGAGTGCTGTGAAATGTGTAAACCTGGTGATTCACAGACCTGTACTCCTGGGGATAAAAATACATTATATGTGTATTAAAAAATAAATAAATAAATAAATAAATAAATAAGGATAAAAATAGCTTCTAAGGTTGTCTTATTTTTTCTTTAGCTTAAGAAGACCAAATCAAAATTTTAAGCAACTGTCATGACAAAGCAGGCCTATCCCTTTGGCATATGCCATAAGGAAGACCATCTGTAATGACCAAAGGTTACACGAGAAAAGGGAGCACAATAAAATTTAGCACATCAAAAAATGTTTTTTCAGTAGCAGCAATGTGTTAAGTACTCTAAAGAATTGAGAGCATGCGGCCCAGTCCCTGTTCCTGGAGGGCTTGCGTCTGGCTGGGAGCCTATGACATAGTCACAAACAGCCCACAGCATTGTGGTGGGAGTCAAGTGCGAGATGGCCTACACAGCAGTGGAGGGTCGGTATCTGTGGCCTGAGATGGAGGAAGCCACCCCCTGGAGGACAGACTGGAGGAAGCAGAGCAGAGACAGCAAACAACCTGGTGAGACCAGAGACAGAAAAAGCTGAAAAAGCTGGAAAGCAGAGATGCCAATACCTGACCTTTCTGTTCCAGAAAAGTCACCAAGTAAAAGCTTGAAGGTCCAACCTTCCCAAACAGGCAGGCTAAAATGACGTCATTTGTACAAGATGAGCAAAAATCAGCCCTGGAGCTTCTTTCAAGGCCAGTGTTCCTTGGTTAAACCACAAAGCCCTGAGGGATCGATATCTCAAGGAAAACTACAATCCAGTGAGTTGCACCTAGCAATCCCCTGCCAGATCCCACTGCCTCCTCCTCCTGTGTCTTCTAGGCAGAGACAGTGTAGATGCCGGGTCTATCATTCACTTGCTGTGAAACAACAGGCGAGTAGTTAACCTTCCCCCAGAGGCACATGGGTAAAACAGGGTAGGAAAAGGTCTGTGAGGATTCAGTGAGTAATGACATGAAGTGCCTCGCACCATGACTGGCACATAGTAAGACCTTATTAAAGGCTACATATTATTACTCCCATCTGTGCTCATCTTCCTAAAATGCCCTCTGTCCTTAGTATCAAATCTATCAAATCTGACAGACCAAAAGGACACCACAGAATGATCATAAGAAATCACAAATAGAAACATGGCCAACTGAAGAATGTTACAGAACTACAAAGGGTAATGGGGATTTCGGAGGAGAGCAAATATGAAGAAAAAAGAAGGCATGGCTGCAGAAGCAAGCCTTCTGGAATGTTCGGTGACAGATCAGCATGGGAGGACAGTCTGGTGTCTAAGTGGAGTGAAATGAATGGTGGTCTGAAGAGCTTGGATTTTCTCCAATCTGCACAAAATGTGACCCTGGGGAAGCTTCTCATCTGGGGGAAGGCTGCGACAGGAGCACGTGGGGGCAGCAAGCAGCAGCAACAATGCAGAGCAGAGGACGGGCGGGACCCGTCAGGAACCAGCAAAGCAGCTAAGCAGGCCTTGCCAGTGCCACAGAGGGACGCCACCAAGGGCTACCGTGAAGGGGTAACTAATAAGCCCATGAAGGATGATAAATGGGTCCTTTCTTTGTGATTAAAATTCAGTCTGCTTTGATACTGGTTTCTGGAAAATCTATTTCCTAAAGCTTGCGAAAACTCCAAGTGACAGTTGATGAGAAAATAAATCATCACGAAAGCCCAGACTAAATCCCTCCAATGTTTAACATCCTATTTTAATAAGGGAAAAAGAAAATCTACCCGGCTGTATAGAGTGGGCTCTTTGGGGATCAGAGCTTGCTGACCCACAGAGTGACCAAGCTGAGAAATAACTAACCCATCCTGTAGACTCTGCAAGGCGGGAGCCTATTCGTTCTTTTCCGTGCGCTTGTTTACTTTAGTCTAGGGCTAGGACCATCAAGACCACCACCCTAGTCAGCTGTTGGATATGGTCATGAGGAAGTGACCAGGAATGCTCTTGGCTTCCTCTTTCCCTGAAAGGATTTGTGAGAAGCCAACATGAAGAGTATTCTCAAATTCTTAACCTTATTTCACAATTAGTAGAAATAGCCAGAACCTGGATCCCTCCCACCTCACCCCACTTCAGATCCCAGAGGCAGTTCTTTTTGATAAATATTAATAACAGTAGCTTCGGTCTTCCTTAGCCGCAGCCTCCCACCCACCCAGCCTGCTGCAAACACACATGACCATTCTCCTCACGGTCCGCAGAAGCTCTGCTAATAAAACTCAAAGGCAGAGCTGTCTCATTTACACGCTGTCTAGCCAAAAGCATGGCAGATGCCTCAAGGGTCTTAATGAGATGCTCACTTCATAGTTTCCTGCCATGATGAGTTTAGCAAACTTCCTGGATCCTGCCACGTTACAGCGCTCTCCAATGTTAACAAAGTTGGTGTACGGTCCGATCCTGAAGGGTTCTAGACCTTAAAAGGAGAAGCATTTTGAAAATTTTCTGAAAATTCATATGATGACATGAGACAGACAGAAAACAAATGTTTTCATTGAGAAAGAAGTTTCCGCGGCACAGCCCACAGGGCTAGACAGGATCCCTGATGTGCGATTAGGTCTGTGGCCTTCTCCCCCAGGAATATTTAAACACAACAAAGGCTACATGGACAGCCAGAACTCCCAAAAGAAGTATTTTAGAAGTTCAGATGTAAAATTTTTCTGAAGAACTGCTTCATACCAGCTCTGAGAAACAAGGAAACATTATCGTCATATCGCTATTTCACCAAGAGTGGGGGGCCGAAGCCATGAAGTTAGAATCAGCAGGATCGCTCCACAGCTGTCCACTCTGACATCAGTCTGAAGCCGGATGAAGCAAGCTTTCCTAATCCCCACAGCAGTGAGTGGAGGGCTTTACCTTATGTCTTTGATCCAGAGGCCAAGAACCGACAACCAGCAAGGATGAATGGGATCACAAGGAAAGACCCAGGCTGGACCAGGGAGAGTTGCCGCGCTCACCCCCCATTCATGAGCTGACGCTGGGAAAAGCGGGGCTCTCTGTACCTCTCTCCCGTTACAGGCCAACAGAGGGACAAATACCAACTTTATAATTATGAACACATGTGGGGACGTAAAAAGCAAGATGCAGCATCAAGCATCACTACAGCCCTTAACTGTTTTTGTCTACTCGCTCTATATAAACAGTGGGGCAAGGGGTCTTCCAGGGTGGTTACAGGTCGGGTAGAGGGACAGCCAGCCGCAGGTTCAAAGCCCTGTCCAGCTGTCTCAGTTCCCAGTTCCCAGCCCAGGGACACTTCTTTCATAGCCTCTGCTCATAAAAAAAGAGACTTAAAAAGGATGGTTTTTCGTACTTGTTTCATACATTTCATAGCACTATTATAAAAAGGAGACTAGAGATCGCTGGATAAGCATAAAATTAGCACCAGCAATCATAGCCGTTGTTGTCAATAAAAGAAAATGGCTTTTGTGTCCTTTGTCAAAGCACTGGTTGAGAAAGAACAAAGTATCAGGGAGAGGAAAATAACGAATATGAGGTAAGTAATCACAGAAGTATTCCAGACTGTTTGAGGGATGGGGGCAGCTATGCTGTCCCAGTTTTGTCCTGTGGTTTCTTCCCACTGGTAGTGACCCTCCACATGAGCCTCAGGATGTCTCCCAGTCCTTAGTCAGATCCAGGGCTCGCAGGGCAGGCAAACAGCGGTGCTGACGCCCAAATGCTGCTGTGGTTCTGCGTCACCGCCTTATAAGCCCCACACACAGTTATGCATGTGAAGTATCTGACATACAAAATACCTTTTTCTTAAGTTTGCAATCCATGAAAGACTATGTTTAATGTCATTCTTTTAAAATCTGAATGAATGTGATTTTTTTTTTTAAAGAATTTTATTTATTTGACAGAGAGAGAGATTACAAGTAGACAGAGAGGCAGGCAGAGAGAAAAGGGGAAGCAGACTCCCCGTTGAGCAGAGAGCCCGATGTGGGGCTCGATCCCAGAACCCTGGGATCAGGACCTGAGCCAAAAGCAGACACTTAACTGACTGAACCACCCAGGTACCCCGTGAAGGTGATTTTTAAACAATTTAGAAATAGCACATGAAATTCAAATCAGAAGAAGAGGATTCTTTCACTCTTACATCTAAATTTGTTTAAAAAATCATATCTAGGGGCACCTGGGATCAGTGGAGAGCCTGCTTCTCCCTCTGCCCCTCCCCCTGCTTGTGCTCTCTCAAATAAATAAAATCTTAATAAAAAAATAAATAATAATCTCATCTAAGTGGTTCTCTTCTTGTTTCAACTGTGGCAAAGGCTTACTATTTAAATGGCTAGCGCTTGGCTGAAGCAAACAATAATTTTAAGATCTAAGGATATAGTAAACTATCGTAACATACCTCTCTCTGTTTTCTGGAGAATAAAAAGAAAACATGGAAGACTGAAGAGGGTTTTTAACCCAACTTCACACTCACTGGGATGAATTCAATGAAGTTATGGTCTGAGAAAAGTAGGTGTGTTCCTTTTGCTGTCCCTTGTATTTTATTTTAATTTTCTTCAAGGAACGTTAAGGAACAAAAATATTTCAATTCAGAGAGATGCTAAATTTGAAATTATTAGGGTGCATAATTTCCCATGAACAGTTAAGAATCTGTTTATATACAAACATATATTTTACTGTTTTCCTTAGAGATACTACCTAAGAATATACCATTGAAGTATTATGGTGAAAACATAACATTTAAAGTTAATCTTATTGTATTTGTTTGTACTTGGTAAGACCTGAATGTGACAAACGTGTAAAGCACTGTCTTCTGTTGGAATTTGAATTCCTTCATTGATATGTGAAAGGTTTCCCAACTTTACTGTCGCTGACATCTGAACATGTTATTTTATAAATGACAAGATTCTAGGGTGGGAATTGAGTGGTTTCATTTTTTTCCTTTTAATTTTTTTTTTTTTAAGTTATGTCATTAAAAAAAACTCCAGTATTGTGGAGTAAACTTAGTATCTTGAAACATGTTTGGGTAAGGTCACACATATTTCTAAATGCTGTTTTTACTTGTATTTTGTTTTTGGTACGGCCAAATATTTAGCTTATTTTTCATAGTTCCTGATACTGTCAGAAATATCAAAATAAATTTGTTCCCTAAAAATAAAAAAAGTTGGCATGATAAACTCTTTTATTAATGTTCCTTATTTGAACATCAAAACTCATCCTCAAAAAGGGAGGGTGCCCACCTTATGGGACTGCTGAGCAGCACCAAACAGAATTGTCAATACACACCCCTCTCTGGTGACTCTGGGATTGTGACAATAATGTTGTTGAAACTACCACAATTTTCTATGAAGAGGCTGCTGTCATGACACACCACTGGCCCTGACAGTTTAGGATTTTCAGCAACTAATAGCAAGTCTGACAATTAAAACACTTAGCCCAGGGGCGCCTGGGTGGCTCAGTAGGTTAAACCCTCTGCCTTCGGCTCGGGTCATGGTCTCGGGGTCCTGGGATCGAGCCCCACATCAGGCTCTCTGCTCAGCGGGAAGCCTGCTTCCCTCCTCTCTCTGCCTGCCTCTCTGCCTACTCGTGATTTCTCTCTGTCAAATAAATAAATAAATTCTAAAAAAACAAAACAAAACAAAAAAAAACAAATACTTAGCCCATGGCTGAGAGTTTGTTTTCAAAGCCGTGCCTCACAGAGCCAGGGCCATGTTCAAAACCTATGCAAGGGCCCCACCTTGGGCAAACCACCTGTGCCTTCTGCCTATTGCCCACCACTGCTCTTCACCAGAATTCATTTAAATGCAAGAAAAAATATGTACGCTTCTTCGACCTAAGAAACAAGTTGCTTGGCACACGCATCACTACCACTTAGAATAAACATGTGAAATTAACCCACAAATGGTTTCTGAAATGGTAAAAATCATGTCTTTACCACTTACCAGATAGTAACATATGCTCTTCAAAAACAGTGGCAGGTGGAACTCTAGGCTTACAGTTCTTCACAGCTTTAGCAATCTCCCTGAGTTAAAAGAGAAAACACTAAATCCATTAATTCAGAATAAAATAAATTTAATTAAACTAATTCCCAGCTATGAAATTAAGTCTATTTAACATAATTATGCACATAATTATATACCTAATTCCAAATGTGCAGCAACAGTTATGCCTTTTAGTTTTCTCAGCAATGCAGAAAATGAATGTGTCAACTTTAACTTTTCTGTATTTTCCCAGTCTGCTGTGGACTGACTGCACCAGTTTCTGCCCTCAGGGATAGAAACGGAGATGTGCTATGGTTTATGCAAACACAAATGGCAAATCTCATTTCTTTCCCAAGCCCATAGAAGCTCTTTACTCCATGAAATATGTGCCTGCTTCTTAGTGGTTTAAAAGAAAAAAAGGCTTCATCGTTGAGAATAAGGGACATACATGAGGAGATGCCAGGAGTGGAGGCCTGTGTTTTAGGTCAGTTTTCCCCACTGAGCACAGAAAGCACAAAGGAGAGAGGGTCCATAGGAATAAACCACTAAAATGCGAAGACGATGACTCTTAAAAATTTGCTTTGATTATGCATCTACTTTTCAACCTTATTGGCTCTGGTAAATTATGTCTTTGATCAACCTGGAAAAATCTGGCTACTCCTCTAAATTTATCAGGGCTAGTATGATCTCCTTGCTTTGCTGCCCCTAGATTGGCAAGCAGACACCAAAGAAAGAGAACACACGTACGCGCACACACACACACAGACACAGAAACACACACAGACACAGAGAAACACAGGCACACACACACACACACACACACACACAAGACAGAGAGCCAGAGACACACACAGACATACACATGTATCTGATGTCGATACACAGAAACACACACACAGTTATTTTTAAAACAACTCTTTTTAAAAAGGAGGAGATAACCTTAAAAACAAAAAGAGATACAAAGATTTAAAAACAAAAAGAGATCCACCTTCGACTACTGATTACTTAAAAGAGATTTTTAAAATTCCACAGGCTCTGGGGCGCCTGGGTGGCTCAGTAGGTTAAAGCCTCTGCCTTCCGCCCAGGTCATGGTCTCAGGGTCCTGGGATGGAGCCCCCCATCGGGCTCTCTGCACAGCAGGGAACCTGCTTCCCCTCCTCTCTCTCTGCCTGCCTCTTTGCCTACTTGTGATCTCTCTCTGTCAAATAAATAAATAAAATCTTTAAAAAAAAAAATTCCACAGGCTCTTCACAGAGTCTATCACAGAAGCCAACAAAAGCAGTGGAATGTTAGGAAATTCAGGATGGTGGACACACCGCGCACATGGAAACAGACTCAGAACAGTGAGATGACTGGCTCAAAATAGGATCATCAGTCACGGCAGAGAAAAAAAAACAAATTATAAATAGCCAAAACTATATTCTGTGCCACTGGACTGCAACCCTCTTATAAGCCACAAAATGGCAAGGACACACTTGGCCAGGCTCTTCTTCCACACTCCCGTGCTTCACACACTCACATCGTGGGATAAGCAATGACGGTGTGACGTCTCTTGATCTCAAGGTGCCTGGTTGTCTTACCGTCTTCTCCTTCCCTGAGACAACTAATGGAGGCATGTATTTGCCCACAAGAAAGACGAACCATCCCTTCCTAATTTTCTGAATATTAGTTAGGTATTTAAGGAGAGAATATCATGACACCTGGAATTTGCTTTACAATATTCTAAGAGGAAAAAGTTGGATAATAGACAATACCAAAATCTTTAAAATTATGGAAACTCTGTGATAAGCACATGGAGAGTCATTTTATTATCTAATTTTGTTTTTTGGAATTTTTCACAATATAAAGATCTCAGTTTGCCAGGGCTGCCAAAATAAAATACCCCTGGCTGAGCAGCTTCAACAGCAGCCGTTTCTCAAGTTTCTGGAAGCTAGAAGTCTGAGACTCAGTGAGGCCAGGGCTGGTCTCCCCTCAGGCATCTCCTGCTAGAGACAGCCCTCTCCACCCTGCATGTTCACTCTGTCCCCACTGGGTCCCTTCCTCTGTGCATCTGTGTCCTCATCTGACCTCACAAAGACACCACTTGTATGGGATTCCGATCCACCCAATATGATCTCACCTAACCTTGTTTATCTCTTTAGAGATCCCATCTCCAAATAGAGTCACATTTCAAAGGAACTGGGCAGCAGGAAATTCAACACATGAATGGTGAGGGGGTGGAGGACACAATTCATTCCATAACAAAAGACCCATGTTTAGACTCCATCCTTACCTGATATGATCTGGGGTCGTACCACAGCAACCACCCACTATATTGACCAAGCCGTCCATAGCAAAGTCCTGCATTTCAGAAAACAAAGTTTCACGGAATCCGTCTGAATTCTAAACTTGCCTCTACCAATTCAGCAGAAGGAGATGACACTTCCTCAATAACAAATTTTTTGTTATAAAGAGAGAGTTAAACATACTTAATACAAAACATAAAGCTTTCACGTGCCCCAGATATCAGTTTAAAAGCAGGAAACAGTTCAGATGCTATGAAATCCTTCACACCATTTAGAAGTACAATTACATAATCATTTGCCTATTTGCTCATAATAAAGATTTTTTTCTTTTACCCGTAAGCTGAGCTGAATGAATGTGAGCTGGATAACTTATCAAGTAACAAAGTGAGCATCATTTTTTACATTTAAATTAAATTTTAAAGAACTAAAGAAAAAAATATTCAGGGTCGCCTGGGTGGCTCAGTCAGTTAAAAGTGTCTGCCTTTGGCTCAGGTCATGATCCCAGGGCCCTGGGATCAAGTCTCACGTCATCATCAAGCACCCTGGCAGGGAGTCTGCTGCTCCCTCTCCTTCCTCCTCTGCTTCTGACCCTCCCCCATCCCCACCTGTGCTCTGATCTCTCTCTCTCACATAAATATATAAAATCTTTTTAAAAAATAAAGAACTAAAAATTCATTTCCTCAGTCACATTTCAAGTTCTCCAATAACCACATGGTAGTGGCTAAATACGGGCCACTGGGGGTCTAGAGTTTAACCTTATGCTAGCTAGCAAAAGAAAGTAACTGAGGCAGGAAGTCAAGAAACTGGGAAGTCAGGAGTACTGAAAAGTTCATCTACTAGATAAGGAAGTGAAACCACAAGAGAGGAGTCAGAAATCATTTAGGAGAGAATGTTACTGAGTTAGAAGCTCAAAGTTCAAGGAATGAGCAAAAGACCCAGGGGTTAGTGAGCACTATGGTACCGAAACCTGGGGGAAAAGACCCAGGGATTAGTGGGCACTATGGTCCTGCAACCTGGGATTCAAAGATGGGAGGTGTATGGGCGACCACAGGGAGTAAGGAGGACATCTACTCCACCTAGCAGTTTGGTTGTGGTAGACTGAGGGAGGGGGCCCCTGTGGAGGCCAAGAAAAACAAGGCTGTACCCATCTCAAGTCTAGCCCTGACTAAGTGCAGCCATCTTGATGTTCCAGAGTATCACAAAATATTTCTTGGGTTCTGATCTACTCAGGTTAGCACTTTAAACAGTCCCTCTCTCCTTTAATGACTGATTTTAAACCCCTGGACTCAGCTGCCTCTGTCTTTTATAACTCCCCTATACATTCCCCAACTGATTAATGTTGACCTGAGTTGGTAGGGACAACTCTATACCCCTACTCAGCAGGAAGAAGTTACAGAAGATGAGACCTTCCACCTTCAACAACCTTCAAGATTTAAGTGTCAAAATTGTTCAGGGGGAAATGTGAAGGCCTAGAAGATTAAGGCCATCCCACCTCAGGTTTAGCTTTAGCGTAAGTACAGCCATCTTAGCTCCGGCAGCCATCTCAGACCACGGCGCCCAAGGGCTGAACTTTCCCCTACTTTGCTTTAGTAAGCCCCACCCTGCTTTAGTTCAGAGACACCACCCCACCCTGCTTTAGTAAGCCCCACCCTGCTTTAGTTAACAGGAACCCATAAATACCCCTAACTGAGCCCGGGGTCCAAGTCCCTACTCCCTGTGCCGGGTATACTTGGGCCCAAGCTTAAGCTTGTCAAATAAACCCTCGTGTGATTGCATCCGTGCTTGGCTCCTTGGTGGTCCTTAGACGCGAAAACTCGGGCATAAGAGCCCCCACTTGAGAGGACTGCAGAAGACAGCCAAGTTTCTGTTAGTCTGGGTCCCGCCTGACTGGGATTTTCCAACAGCCACCAGGGCCAGATGGGGAGAAAGATGCGGACACCGAGCCCCTCCCTCTGCCTCTACCACAGTAATTAGGAGTGGTTAAGCTTTTGTTATATATACACAGGGATTCCTTTAGGAGAAAATTCTACTTCTAAATATTCTAAATCTAAGATTCCATTTCTCTATCTTTTAAAAAACCAAATGAAAGACCATCCTTAACCTTTAGTTGTGTGGCCATCATATCCGGAGTTTCGTCGTAGTCACCAAACGTGTTGGGAAGACCTAAGAAAGCATTATTTCAAGCATTACTGAAAACCATCTTAACAAACAAGCTAGTGATCGTGAGGCTGTAGGTGTAAAAGTTAGGAAACTTTTTATTTATAATTAAATGGTGATTACTTGCAAAAACAAGTCATAGTTCTTAATACTGAACATAGTAAATGCAGAGATACCACACACACACCCCCCAAAATCACAAAGGAGCAAATAAACATAGACTGTTTCTCTTCTATTTGAAAGAAAAGAGTTACTACTATATGGGACAGAATTTCTCCAACTCCATCCCCTTCCCACGGAGGAAACTCAATCTTGTCAGCTACCTGCTTGGGGGTAGAGGCTGGGGGACTACTACATATCCTTTGAACTAATAAGCAACTGGCGTTATGAATAAAAAACACAGAACACAAATTCTCAAATTTTCCCAAGTTCCAATTTTCAAATAAATATTCCCAAGTAAAATTTTAACATTGAATTAACCAATTTCCTATTTTATTTATTAACTCCTTCCAGTTATCTTACGCCTTCTGGGAAATAAAATTTGGTGAGCATTAAGATACACTGATTTCGAGAAAGAAAGCTGGAAAAGGACTATATGCCCTAAGTAGCTTAAGCAAATGCTCAAAAACATTTACCAGGAAATCTGGTTAATCCAGAATGGGTTTACTAGTTTCTAACTGGGTAGTTTGAGAACTGTCCATAAATACCTGTATCTGTATCTGTATATAGAAAGCTAGAAGTGCTAACTTCCAGGAAGGAAAAAGCTGACATGGCAGCTTTTGTTAACATGGCAGAACAGAGAGGAGGGTCCCCCCCTCCCCTTCTTGGCATTCATCCCTTTGGCTCTGTTCACATGGCCAACACTGTCACACAAAGCAAGGCTCTGTAATTGGGCTTCATCCCCCAAAGTTCTGTCCAATCCTGCAGCTTTCAGGGTGAGTCACATTGTTCCTTCAAGTCTAGAGGCAAGCACTCTTCATTTAGAAAATGGCCACTGAATTTCAACTATGTACCAAGACCTGCAAAGCCAACTCTTTCAGCCAAACTCTTTTAACCCTCCCCACCCCTGTCCAGTGTATTTGGATATCCCCACGTGCAACTCCCTAGAAATACACACCTGCATTAGGATAACAGAGGACATAGGCTGTTGTACATTTCCCAATTGTTTCAATAAAAGGTCTCATTTCAGCTGCACCCAGAGCACAATTTAATCCAATGCTGTAAAAACAGTAAGAAGGTATCAGGAACATCATCTTGTATACAAGGTATTATACAAGGTATTTATGTATATCAAACATTACAATAAAGAAACGGCTATATTTAAAACCAAGCAGATAATAAATCTCTACTTTAGCTTTAGCACCTTTATTCGGATATAGTCAAAGCCATTTCACTGAAGATCCCTGAAACTCTGAATGTTTCTGTCCATGTCTGCAATGTCAGATGATCTTACAGCTAAGGACCGTGCCTTTCTCCTTGAAGAAGATCACAGTTTGATTACTGGTATACTGAAAACAGAAATACCAGCCAACTACCAGTGCTAACAGACATCTGATCTGAAAGCAATACTTAAAGAGAAGGAAAAAGGAAAATCAGGGATGTAGAAGAGAAGACACAGTGAAGATACCTGGAAGCCACTCTGGGAGTCCAGAAGACCAAGACTGAGTAGTCCTTGCTCTGTAGCGGACTTGCAAGGTGACCTTGGACTTACAATTTGTCCTCTTATAAATTAAGCTGGTATATCTATAAAACCAAGTTTCATTTTGCAAATGAAACTTATTATGGACTCAAATCAAACAGATCCAAGCAGAGCTGCTCTAATAGAAGTTTGCAGAGTGGAGGGCCTGAAACCCCTCCAATACCACTCTCAGTGGGGGCCCTGCAAGAATTCAGAAAATTAACTAGGAAGCTACTAGTCTATGTGATCTTTTAGTTTTTCATATTTCAATTTTTATCTTTTACTATGATTCCTAAGTGCAATGTGGTACGCTAGATTAGATCCTTAGGCAGAAAAAACAGCAATTGTGGAAATATTTGAAATCTGAATAAAGTCTGGCATTTAGTTAATAATATTACTATTCTTATTTTTGACAAAAGGACCATAGTTACATAAGATGCTAACATTAGGGAAAACTAGATGAAGAGTATATAGAAATTCTACTATCTTTGCAACTTTTCTGTAAATCTGAAATTATCCCCAAATAAAAAGTTTATTTAACAAATACACACAACACCCATTCATGATTAAAAACTCTCAGCAAACTAGGAATAGAGGAGAACTTCCTCAACTTGATAAAGAATATCTACAGGGGCGCCTGGGTGGCTCAGTGGGTTAAAGCCTCTGGCTTCAGATCAGGTCAGGATCCCAGAGTCCTGGGATCCAGCCCCACATCAGGCTCTCTGCTCAGCAGGAAGCCTGCTTCCTCCTCTCTCTCTGCCTGCTTCTGTGTGATCTCCGTCTGTCAAATAAATAAATAAAATCTTTAAAAAAAAAAAAAAGAAAGAAAGAATATCTACAGAAAACCAAGAGCTGACATGATAACTTAATGATGTAAAACTAGATGCTTTCCCCCTAAGACAGGGAACAAAACACAGGATGTCCCTTTTCAACTGCTAATGGACATCATACTGAAAGTCCTGGCTAATTCAAGAAGAGAAGGAAAATACAAGGTACACAGACTGGAAAGGAAGATATAAAACCATCTTTGTTCACAGGTAAGAGGTAGAAAATCCCAAAGAATCAACTAAAAAATTCTTGGAAACAATAAGCACTGATAGCAAGGTTGCAAAAGAGAAAGTTAATATACAAAAGTCAATTGTTTACCTCTATCCCAAACATTAGCTACTGAAATTAGAAATTAAAAACATGATACCATGTACACTGGCATCAAAACAAATGAAACAGTGGGGTATAATTCTAACAAAATATGTACATGATCTACCTGAAGAATACTATAATACAACAAAATTCTGAAGAAAGAAATCAGAGCAAATTTAAATAGGTGAATAGATATTCCATGCCCATGAATAGGAAGACTCAGTATTTTTTTTTAAAGGAAATTCTTTTTTTTTTTTTTAAGATTTTATTTATTTATTTGACAGACAGAGATCACAAGTAGGCAGAGAGAGAGAGAGAGGAGGAAGCAGGCTCCCCAATGAGCAGAGAGCCCGATGTGGGGCTCAATCCCAGGACCCTGGGATCATGAACTGAGCCGAAAGCAGAGACTTTAATCCACTGAGCCACCCAGGTGCCCCGAGGACAACAGGGACTTTAGCACACCACTTCCATCAATGGTGATCATCTAGACAGAAAATCAATAAGGAAACAACTGGCCTTAATATGACACATTAGACCAATGGACTTAACCAATACATACAGAACTTTCCATCCAAAAGCAGCAGAACACATGTTCTTCTCAAGTGTACACAAGCATTCCCTATAGCACATTAGGCCACAAAAGAAGTCTCAAAAAATTAAAGATGACTGAAATCAAACCAAGCATCTCTTCCAACCATAACAGTATAAAACTAGAAATTAATTATAGGAAAAAAAACTAGTAAAACTACAAATATGTAGAGATGAAACAGGTTACTGAACAACTACTGAGTCACAGAAGAAATGAAAGGAGAAATTTTAAAAATACCTAGAGACATGTGAAAACATTAATACGACACACCAAAATCTGTGGGAGACAGCCCAAGTGACTCTCTGAAAGTTCAGAGTAACAGAGGTCAACCTCAAGAAACAAGAGAAATAAATGAACATCTAACTTTACACCAGAGGAACTAGAATAAGAATAAATGAAGCCCAAAGATAGCAGAAGGAAGGGAATAATAAAGTTCAGAGTAAAAATAAATGAAATAGGGCACCTGGGTGGCTCAGTGGGTTAAGAAGCCAACTCTTGCTTTCAGCTCAGGTCATGATCTCACAGTACTGAGATCAAGCCCCACATCACCAGGCTCTGCATTCAGCAGGGAGTCCAAGTCGGCTTGAGATTCTCTCTCTTCCTCTCCCTCTGCCCCTCCCCCTGCTTGTGTGCGCGCTCTCTCTCTCTCTCTCTAAAACAAATAAATCTTTTAAAAAATAAAATAAAATAATGAAAATAGAGACTAAAAAGACAAACAGAAAAGGTCAATGAAACTAAGAGCTGGTTCTTTGAAAAGATAAATGAAATTGACAAACCTTCAGCTAAACTTATTAAGAAAAAAGGAAAAGACTCAAATAAAATGAGAAAGGAAAGCAGAGAAGTTACAACTGCCACCACAGAAATACAAAAATCATAAGAGACTATCACAAACAATTGTATGCCAACAAACTGAACCTACAAGAAATGGAGAAATTCCCAGAAACTTACAACCTTCCAAGACTGAATCACCAAGAAACAGAAAATCTCAATAGACCAATTACTAGTAAGGAGACTGAAACAGCAATCAAAAACCTCACCAAAAACAAAAGTCCAGGACAGAAGCCTTCACTCATTAATTCTACCAAAACATTCAAAGAAAATGTTAATACCTACCCTTCTCAAACTCTTTCAAAATACTGGTGAGGAGGAAATACCTCCAAACCTCCTTAAGAGGTCAATACTACCCTGATACCAAAACCAGACAAGGATAGCCCAAAAAAGAAAATTACAGGCCAATATCCCTGAACACAGATGCAAAAATCCTCAACAAAATATTAGCAAACCAAACTCGACAACATTAAAAGAATCATACACCATGATCAAGTGGTATTTATTCCAGGGATGCAAAGGATGGTCCAACATCTGCAAGTCAGCCAGTGTAATATACTGTGTGAACAGAATGAAACATGAAACTCATATGATCATCTCAAAAGATGTAGAAAAACCATCTGCCAGAATTCAACATCTACTTATGTTAACTCTCAACAAAGAGGGTATAGAGGGAACATACCTCAAGATTATAAAAACCATATATGGCAAACCTATAGCTAATATCACATTCAATGGTGAAAAACTAAAGCTTTTCTTCTAAGACCAGGAAAAGACAAGGATGCCCACTCCCCCACTTTTATTCAACATGGTATCTGAAGTTCTAGCTGCGGAAACTAGGCAAAAAGAAATAAAAGGCATTCTAATTGGAAAGAAGTAAAACACACTATTTGTAGATGGTATCATACAATATACAGAAAACCCTAAAGGATTCTACTAAAAAAAAAAAAAATTGCTAGAACTAATAAATGAATTCACTAAAGTTGCAGGACACAAAAGTCACATACAAAAACAATTCGTTGCATTTCTATACACTAATAGCAAACCATTAGAAAGAAAAATTAAGAAAACAATCCCATACTATTGCATCAAAAAGTATAAAATACCTAGGAATAAATTTAACCAAGAGGTGAAAACCCTGTACACTGAAACTGTAAGACACTGATGAAAAAAACTGAATATGACACAAAGAAACAAAAGATATCCATGCTCGTGGAATAAAAGAATACTGTGAAAATGTCCATGGTACCCAAAGCAATGCACAGATTCCACAGCAATCTACAGGGCAATCTGTATCAAAATTCCAATATCCACTTTTCATAGAACTAGAAAAAATAATTCTAAAATTTATATGGAACCGCAAAAGACACTCAAAGCCAAAACAATCGTGAGGGGAAAAAAAGAAACCTGGAGATATAACGTGCCTGGATTTCAGACCATACTACCAAGCTGTAAGTCATCAAAATAGTATGGTATTGGCCTAAAGACAGACACACAGATCAAGAGAAGAAAAGAGAGCCCAGAAATCAACCCACGCATATGCAATCAATTAATTTACAACAAGAGAGGCAAGAATATACACTGGGGAAAGGAGAGTCTCTTCAATAAACGGTGTTGGGAAAACTGGAGAGCCACATGCGAAAAGAGTGAAACTGGATCCCTCTCTTACACCAGACCAAAAACAAACTCAAAATGGATTATAGACTTAACTGTAAGAACAGAAACCACAGAACTCCCGAGAGAAAACATAAACGGCAAGCTCCCGGATATCCATCTTAGTAATGTTTTTTGGGGGGATCTGATTCCAAAGACAATGGAAACAAAAATGAAAATAAACAACTGAGACCACATCAAGCTGAAAAGCTTCTGCACACTAAAGGAAACAATCAGCAAAACTAAAAGGCAGCCTGCGGAATGGGAGAAGGTATCTGCAAATCATGTACCAGGGGCTCGCTTCAGCGAGAGCGGTACAGAGAAGATCAGCAGGGCCCCTGCGCACAGATGACATGCAAATCATCTATCTGGTAAGGGGCTGATATCCCAAATATATGAAGAACTCATGCAACCCAGTAAAAACAAAAAAATCCAATTAAGAAATGGACAGAAGATCGGAATGCATATTTTTCCAAAAAAGATACGCAGATAACCAACAAGCCCATGAAAAGATGCTCAACATAGCTCCTCGTCGGGGAAATCGAAATCAGACCCACAATGAGAGATCACCTGACACCTTGTCAGATCCACCGGCAGCAAAAGGACAAGAAACAACAAGTGTTGGTGAGGATGTGGAGAAAAGGTAGCCCTTGTGCACTGTTGGTAGGAATGCAAACTGATGCAGATGCTACAGGAAATAGTAGGAAGGTTCCAAAAAAATTCAAGACAGAAATACCATATGATCCAGCAGTCCCACTACTCAGCATCTACCCAAAGAAAACAAAAACACTAATTCAAAAAAAAAAAAAAAAAAAAAAAAAGAACCCCATTTTCCCTCCAGCATTACTTACAACAGCCAATGAGGGTATGATGCTAAGTGAAATAAGACAAAGAGAATGACAAAGATCACATGATTTGACTTACACGTAGAATTTAAAAAACAAAACAAAACGAAACCCACACTCACAGGTATAAAGAACAGACAACAGTTGCCACAGGGGAGGGGTGTAAGGTGGAGGTGACATGCGTGCAAATCAAGAAGCAGGAACTTCCAGTTACAAAACAGTAAGTCACTGGGATGTCACATACAGCTTGGGGAATACAGTGAGTAATACTGTGTTAACTTCGTATGGTGATAGGTGATAACTAGATTTATCGTGGCAATCATTTTGCAATGTACACAAGTGTCAAACCACTATGTATACACCTGAAACTAATATAGTAGTTTAAGTCAGTTATACCACCATTAAAAAAAAAAAAAGATTCCCAGGTCCTGTGCAGAGCTAAGTTACAGACCTTGAATAGACCTGTTCAGTTGCACCAGTCTCTCCATTCAGAATGCTTTTACTCTTTTTTTTTTTTTTTAAATCTTGCACTGTCATCCACACGCAACACCAGGTAATAAACTAAAATTTTTTTTAAATCATGACATTCTTATTAGAAAGGATCCTAGACTTTTTCTAAACTTCGTTCCAATCCTAACTCATCTGGTCCAATAGTGAGGTGGGCTTCAGGTCCTCATCTGTGGCATGAGAAAACAATGCCCCGTCAGCAGTGAGGGTCAAGTGAGAGTGACATCAGATATAGGAAAATGTTTCAGAAAAATGCAGTCCTGCTCGTGCTGCTGCTCATTCTGAGACATCCATCTGCCTCTGCCTAATGGACTCTGACTCATGCTTCACAAAGCAGTTCAAGTGTCACCTTCTCGACAAAGCCAGCCTTGAATATTGCAAGGACACCATTACTCCGTCTGTCTGGCCAGATTTGTGTTCACACCTCTGCAGAGCAGTTGATATTTTATATTTTAATTTAATTACGTATTTCTCCTAGTGTGGACTGTTTCCCATTTGCCCGTATTCCAGGGCACAGAGTAGGACTTCAATAAAAGCTCAATGAATTAATACTACTACTACTACTACAAAGGCTCTGTATTTTGTGAACATACGTACAGTTTGCAAGAATCACAATCAGTAAACAATCGTTTTTTACACACTCACTTTGCTACATACTACCTGTTTATATACACACATATATGTGCATAGACACATATTTTAATTATCATATATTTGTTAACAGTACTCCTCTATACTGAGTTCGACTCTCAGTACTAAACTAGAAAGAAAACCAGTAGGCACTCTTCAGAGTTCTGAACCTGAAAAACTATAATTAGGACCCAATACAATTCTCCAGTTCCTGGGCTGCCTTGCATCTGCCTATCTGCCCCTTTGGTCTGTAAGATTCCTAACAAATAGGAGACCAGATATATTCTCTCTGTGAATGGGCTACAGATGAATCAACATTCTAACATCTAAGGAACAGAGTAAAATATAGGATAACAATAAAAAGAAAAAATGAACCACTGAGTGGGTCAAAAGTTAGAATTCACTGCAAGTTTGCTTAAGGAACAGAAGTTTAAATTTTTAAGACTCCACAAAATTATCATTCTTGGATCCCGCAGGTGAGGCAGGGGCTGGGAAAACATCCTCTAAGGACGTCCTCCGGGAACAGTCAGCAGACTGAAGAGCCACAAGACATTTGGGGAGATGCAGGGGTTTCATCTGCACATCTAGGGGTTCCAATCAGATCACAAATTAAGACTCAGTAAAGGGGGTGGGAGGAGAGTAGAATGAAAGGATGCATGGTCTAAGTATTTGAGGAAAGACAAAAAAATCTGAAAGTAAACTAAAGACCCCTACATTTTCCTATCTTCAGACTTCCTGTTAAACATTTACTGCAGCCATCTGACATGCCAAGGTCTCTATTAAGCACTAGAGACATAGAGATGATGAAGAGATGGCTCTGGAAAAGCTCATAAGCTGTAAAGGAGTCAATCACAGACCAGTTCAATACAGTTAACTTCTTAATTATCAGCCCCAGTCAACTGGACAACTGGGTGGCTCAGTCAATTAAGTGTCTGACTTCAGCGCGGATCATAGTCCCAAGAGTTGTGGGATCAAGTCCCACATCGGACTCCTTGCTCAGCGGGAAGCCTGCGTGTACTCTTGCTCTCTCTAGCAAATAAATAAATAAATAAAATCTTGTGGGGGGAAAACACATTTCTGATAAGAAAAATGGGGAGATATTTTAAAATAGAATGTAAAAACCAGGTTAATTTATTTTTAAAGATTTACCTTTTTTTTTTTATTGTGAGAGAGAGAGAGCATGTAAGCATCAGCAGGAGAGGCAGAAGGAAAGGGAGAGAGAGAATCTCAAGCAGACTCTGTGCTGAGCATGGAGCCCGACTCAGGGCTCAATCCCAGGACCTTGAGACCATGACTTGAGCCAAAACTAAGAGTCAGACGCTTAACTGAGTCATCCAGGCGTCCCAAAGCCAGGTTAATTTTAAAGATGGGAATTTGAGCTTTAGAATGCCTACCTTATTCCAAGCTGGACTGCTGCTGTTTGTTCCATAAGCAGGGACTGAAAACACTTTGCAGAGCCCTGCCCTAGGAAGGGAAACACTGTCTTTGCAGAACTGCCGCTGAGCCAAGCACAGCTAAACTATGAGGGGCACATTTACAGAGAAAGAGCCAACCACGTGCCTGATCCAAGGGGTAAGAGCACTTGCCCAGCCCCTCAAAACTGACCATTCAGGCAGTGATCTTCTGATACCCTAAAGGGAAGTCAGAATGTACTTTACAGATATCCAACATCCCATGTGGATGGCTCAGCAGAAATATGCAGGAGTGATTTTTGGAGCCATGAGAAAAGGTCGCTCTAGAAGGAATGGGGTCAAGGAAAGAATGATCACTTACCAGAGTGGGTTTGCATGAGACACGCTGATGACAAATGCTTCTCCCGTCTGTCCAGAAAGAGTTCGCCCACTTTTATCAATAATTGTCCCTGAAATCTGAATTAACAAAGTGAACTCAGTCAAAGGAGGCTCAAATTAACAACACGGTCATGAGTGTGAAATAAAATGAGTGCACTGTTCCTTTATGAGGAAGGGGAGTGTGGAGCTCTCACACAGGAAGCACTTTTCATCATGGTCAGAAAGGACAGGGGCAAGGGGACTGCGAGGATGAGTCATGAAGCCATAACATAAAAAACAGGGGAAGTCACTGAGGCAAAAGCAATGACCAACACAGCTTTGGAATTCACACATCCAGTCCCACCGCTGAAGGCTTTCCCAGAGACCTCAGGCTGTCCTAGCTATGACCCCTGGTTCGTCTAAGACCCCTTGATTTGATTCTAGTCTTTTCCCACCAAGCAATGTTGAGACTCTCCTGGGGGTCTGCCTACTTGTAGGCTGGTGTCATCTGATCTGGAAAGCTGGGTCAGCATGCAAGCCCACATCTCCCAGGGCCCCTCTCAGAGGGAGTCCCAAAGCCTTTGACTTCAGGGGATCAATTCAGCCAGGCTTCAATTCCAGTGGCCTGCCTTCTGGGTTCACCTTCTTCCCATCTCCAGAGCTGAGACTGCCACTGGTAGGAGGAAGGTGAAAAGAGGAAGCCGAAGTGGGTGGTTCCTTAAAGATACTAAAGATAGTTCTCCTATGCCAGGAAAATAAAAACCCTACCCTCAAAATGACAGTATTAATAAAAGACAAAAATCATCATGCAAATTTGAGAACTTACAAAGATAGGTCGAAGGGGATACTCCTCTTCAAAAAGTGTCTGGAGTGCAAACAAGGCTGCCTGTCAGGGGTAAAAAGAACATCTTTGCTCCTGAGAGACTGTGTTCCCCAGAATGTTCCCTTTTCCAAAGCCTCTCTAGATGAGAGCAACATCGCACTCCCTGGGGAAGAAGCACATCCTCCCTGTAAAGTACAATCCCCGATCCCAACACCCCATCTCAAGTCGCACACGGTACCTATGGAAACGAAACAGATGCTGCCTCAGAGTTTACCTACGAACTAGTATTTCCTCCAAAGAAGAGCTCAAGAGCTCTGCTCTTTCTTCCTTCTCCCAGTCAAAACTAAAAATAGATAAATACGAATGCCTGCACCGTCCCCATCCTCGTAGATACAGGGGGGTACAGAAATGAAGGGCACACAGTGAGCTCAGACTGGGCTGTGCAGGCACTAATGCCAAGTAACTCAGCGCATGCCCAAGCTGCATTAGGTTCCAGGGAACAGCTCCTTCTTTTGATCACTGTATTTCCTGATTCCAAGATGTGCACATTTTCATAATTTGCTGAAGTCAGAATGCAACTTGTCCTTAATGTATACCTTCTTGGGGATGGGGGGGGGTTCTTATGCATTGAAAGTTACTAATTCAACAATATAAGAATTTTATTTTATTTTTAGAACTAGCCCAATTGATCCCAAAGATCTGATGGAAAAATAAATGAGGAAGAACAGCCAGGTAAATTCTGGGGGAAAAACAGTACGGCGGGGAGAGGCTCATGAAAGCCTACCAGTTATTCAGGATGTATTTTAATCATAACGCTACAGAAAATAGCAGGATGGGAGTGTGACATCAGACAGATGACTGGAATAGATTCTACCCAGACACACTTCCGAATTCAGGGTGGTATACAATTCCTGTCACTGGGAAATGGTAGGATATTTAATAGATGATGTTAAGACAACTAGGTAAACCTTAGAGAAAAAGAGTACCTAGTTAGAACTCTACCACATTCCTCACTCCAAAATAAATTACAGACGCATCATGGGGACAACCTGTCCCTCAATAATCAAAAGAATGTTATGTCACACTTTTTTTATACCTGTGTAGCATCTCTCTCAGGAACCCCCCACACCGTAACAGCTGTTCTGGGAAAGACCTGGATGCCCAGGGAATAGGAGAAGGAAGGGCATTTACTTTTCACTCCCTACATTTATGTTCCTTCTAAATTTAGAACCATCTGTGTGTATTTACTACATCTGCATACGTGCGCCTAACAGCTATATGTGTATTTACTTTCATAATTTAAAAAAAAAAAAGTGTTTTTGAAAGCTAAAAAGATAATCTTTTGAGTTTTTTCTCATCCCGCTGGCCTTAACTAGAAATACTCAAAAACAGAATGGAACAGAAGACTTTCATGTAACTTTGACGATGGCTGCGATGGTCTATCTTCTTGCCCCACTGGGGATCCTCACAGCCCCCACCCTGCCTATCCCTCTCATCTCCCTCAACTCACCTTGGCATTAGCAGTATCAAAAATAGTCTCAATGAGTAAGACATCAACCCCACCATCCAGAAGCCCTTTGGCCTGCTCTCTGTATGCTTCAACGAGCTCATCAAATGCTGTAAAAAATAAAGCACCAAATATAAAGTCACCAAAATCCTCTCAATGGCCAGGACATGCTGTCTTCAGGCCTAGCACCTGTCAACTATTGCTGGTTTCTAATGCTTGATTTAAGGATATCACCTTTTGTGAGAAACCAAATAAAGAAATGGGGCAGTGATGTTAAATAAACCTGTAGACTGAATACTCCTGAACACTTGCCACACAACCTCCACTTGCCCCACATGAGGCAAGAAGTAAGTGAGGAGGCAGGAAGGTGCGTGGTTTCATGAGCCCCGTACCTTATTTTCAACACCTTTACAGTAGATCTTTCTTCCCAGGGATGGTCTTAATCAGTCAGTTAAGGGATGAGTGTGAGAAACAAGGAGAGAGCCATGTCACCCTGACTTGGAAACATGGTGGGTCTAGTCACATCCTCTCACACTCACAGTGATAAAAGGCTTCAGTCCTGTGGACTTCACTCCTGCCAGAGAGAAAACCTGCCTTATGGGGCAATTTCAGTCTGAATCCAAAGTGTTCTATCATTCCAGGGTACAATTTTTATTAGAAACATCTTGAGTTGTCCATTTCCATTTGAGAGGTCAGCCCTCTTGCCATTTACCTCCCAATGAAAAAAGAAAAAAGCTTGGATAGTCAATAGAAAAACCCAATACTACCTTCACGCTTGCTGTATAAAGCACAAGAGAAAGGAAAACTTAGCCCCTCCCAGTCAAGCCTTGACCAAGCATAAGCCCAGTATGAGCAACCCCTGGTGAAGAACTATGACAACACCACATGGAAAGTTCTATAACCAAAAACCTACAAACCATACTTGCCTGAACCTGCCACCTACACAATATTCTTCACTATACAAAGTATCAGTACTATTCAGCTAAGTTTAATTCTTTTTGTCTTTCATTATCTTGATGCTTAGGAAATTGACTTAGATGTTTAGGTTTTTCATAAAATCTCAATGTGATTATGTTTATGTACGCTAGTTTATGATGTCACCAATGCCACTATGTGTATATAGTTTGGAGCACTTTCTGACATAAAACGGGGGACTAGTGGGCTACTCTATAACAGACCAAGGCCTGGTGTCCATATTTGCTCAACTTCTCAGTTTAAAGCTTTCTCTTGATTAGTTTTATTTTCTCAGCTGATAAAGAAGCATGATCACAGTACCATGTACATTTGAAATAAGAATAATAGTAATAATAACAAGATCTGACTTTTTATTTAGATGTTTACTACATTTCAGGGACTGTTACAAGCCCTTTATGTCCATTAAGCCACAATAACCCTGAGGAAGAGCCTGTTATCCCATTGTACAGATTTTAAGATCACTGAAACACAGACATACTTACAGGGGCTCAAAGACTATTTACAATACTTACTAATGTTTCTGTAATCTGGTCTCTCCACAGACGGGGACACCGACAGTGTCTTATTAGTTGGACCCAGAGCTCCTGCCACAAATCTCTTAATTCCTTTGGGAAAAGAAAAACAAGTGTAAAAATCTCTGAACAGCTTGACCTTTTTGTTGTGACTCAACAGGCTAAAAGATTTTCCCCTAGAACACAAGTCTCTAATCCTTTATCCACAACTCCGAAATACAAAAGTGCAAGTTATTTTCTTAATTCGTTTGACAACAAACTTGATCTCTCCTGGACCAACAAGAAGCTTCATAGTCTTGATCACACTCGGTGAGACAATGCACAGATTTGACTACAAATGAGTATCTGAGGATGGGAGCTATCCCTGACCACACTGGGAAAATTCTGAAATATAGGGATGTGTACAGGTGATTGCCAAGCTGATCCGAAAGACTCCAAATTCTCACCTATCTGGCTTCAAAGCGTTTCAGTAACTAACCCTTTTCTATCCCCACAGTCATGTTTGGATAAATTAACTCCCCTTCCTCTTAAGGTATCTCCAAGATCCTGAACTCAACACAGATTCTAGAAAAGCTCCTCACGGTAACATTCAACTTGAAATGCTCCCCAGTATCATGCTGCAGGCCCTTCACGTGGGGGGGAGGGGACTATTAAATCAGGATTAGCAATTATAAAGCCTAAAATTCAAGTATGAAACAGATCAAATCTTACTGTAAGCACTCTTTCAATAATTCTTTAATAACCTTTCCTCTGGACTGGAGTCCAGGTGCTTCCAAAAGAGCCTCCAAGGTTGGGTTCATCCACACGGCACAACCGAAGCTGGGGGTACACTGATGACGGTAACTACTCAGTAACCTGGGTCACGATTTACAGTTTAACAGGAGAAGACTACCAATGAGTTGATAACCCACCCTTCGAACAGGTTACCTTTCCCAGAGCTGAACAATAATATGTGTATAAGAAAAATGTCCTTCTCTTTCCCTGCTTTCACTGGTTTCATATTCTCTGACCTGCAACTCTGTTGGGGTAATGGTCTCTGCACGTCCGTGGATTTAAAGACTATCTCCCAGAAGCAGAGTTCCCACAAACTGCTTCAGTCTTCATTAGTATGCTTTATCTCATTTCCTAGCAATTCCCCTTTATATTTTCTCCCGCTGGCATTAATTTTACATTTCCAAATCTTAAGGTGCTCCACATATTTCTTCTATTAACTTCCCTCCCTCAGAGCCTCCCCACCAGCTGGCATGTCACGCTATGGCAGCCAGCCAGGGGGTTAGTTATTTCAAGAGGCCGCTTTTCAAGTCCTAGCAAGCCTGAATCGCATGCCACAGTCCTGTGCGGGCTGCACAGAGCCTTCAAGGACATTAAGGATAGGATGTGGATTACGCTATTCACCTACATGAGCCAATCATGAGGATGAGGTTAGCTTTATTGGGTAAGATCAAATATCTTAATGTTTATCAAAATAACCAGAACACCTGAACTACCTAGTAATGTGCTTCCAAAAGGAGAATGATCAGCTTGGCTGTAAATACCCAAAGAAGCTACAACCACAAATATACAAAGTAGCTAGAGCTACAAAGTGAAGCTAGAGCCCGCACTAAACACAGAGTAAACCCTGAGCCCAAGGCCCACAGGGACAGAATCAAATCAGAGAGGACAGAATCAAATCAGAGAGGCTCTGGAGGGCTTGATTACGAAATTGCAAAGAAGTCACCTACCCACAAGTACAAAACAGTGTCTGCAGTGTTGCTGGGGGCCACTTGTCACAGAAGGGAAAAGCATAATAAAGACAGCACGTGACACCTCCGAATCTCAAAGGAGTCATCCTTGCAGATGTTCCTTACCTGTCTGGAGGGACACCTCCTCGGCTGCCTTTCTGGCCACCCCCGCAGAGCATTTGTTCATCCGGTAGGCCTACACGTGAATGCAAACATTAGCGGGCGCTTCTTCCCCTCTGCCCCATAAACCAGGGACTCGTGACCTTATAAAAGTCAGTTTTATTCAGTAAGGAAATGGAGACGGAATTAACAAGAGGTCTGAACGAAATCTCGGCTGAGAAGGCCTCTCAGCTGCCCCAGCCATGAAGGCAGCAGGAGAGCTAAGA